CTGCGTGCTCAACGAGGTGGCTCTCGTGTACCCGCAATGCGGACGATACCTGTAGTGCACGCCTCTGGCGAAAGGCTTTGGATGATAAAGTGCTCTTTGAGCGATGGGTGCAACGGCACCGCAATCTTTCCTCACTGTAAGCTTTACAGCTGAGCCACAAGGAAGTGGACGTGCGTGAGGAGCGTCACCTCCGGCTTGAATTTGCCAAATTCAAATCACGCCGTCGACTCCCTTCAGATTGCGACGTATGGGTCAACCCCTAACCCTCCCTCGAGCTCTGTGTCTGCGACCGAAAAAGCTCAGGGCCACTGTTTGAGCTCAGCTCATGGCCCTTCTACTTCCCTGGCTATTACCGGGAAGCGCGAGGCGCCTGATGACGCGGGGCGTCCTGATCTTCTGGTCAAAAGCGTCCACGGCGTCTGGGCAATCTTGCCGAAGTGGCGTCTCAAACTCCCACGAGTTTTCGGAGTAGGGATATTCCCGCCACTCCTCCAGATATTGGGTCTGACCCTGGTGACGACGTCGTCTCACTAGACGTTCCACGTGATTTTTGGACGTCACCGATCTCATCGAGAAGAGACCGTGGCGGGCGGTGACGACCGGGTCGACTGCCGTCCAGTGACTCGCGATGCTCTTCGAGCCTTTGAGGATGAGATCCTTCGTGATCGGAGCTCCGCTGAGCGTCATGCTGAATTAGCATATCGCTGTGCGGACGCTCTTGATGATTTGGAGCGCGTCGTGCACCGGCTGCCACTCCTTGAGGACTATTGCGCTCAGTCGGAGCGACTCCTAGCCGTGGAGCAGGCGAATGCGTCGCTGCAGGCAACGATGGGGTGCTTGTCTCCATTAAAGATGGAGGTTGTTGCACTCCGTGCTCAGAACCAGTTGCTGGTTAAGTTTCTGGGTGGCCGACGGCTCGTGGGATCCGCTCTGGCGCTAACGCTTCCGCGTTCACATGCGCCGGATCCCGATACGGCTTGAGCAAACCCACGTAAAACACCGGGTGGGTGCGCATCCGCTTGGAAAGGTTTAGCGTATACGCTAGGCCCCGTTTGGCCACAACCCCAAACGTTCCAATAAACCGTGGACGAAGATTCGTCCGGAAGATAGCAGAGGCTGCATGTGTAGGCAGGTTTTTAGAGTTTAATAAAACCAGGTCTCCTACCTTAAGGCTTTCCACTTTGCCTCTTCCTTTTTCATCTGCATATTCTTTTTGCAAGTCTTGGCTTTCAGCCATCGCATCGCGAACGTGTCGT